GGAAGAAGATTTACAGGAGGCAAAAACAGAGTCCAGTGGGGACGCTGAGGGGAAAGAAGCTGAACATGACAACTCAGATACTGAAGGGAAACAAGAAAACAATGAAATGGAGACAGAAGCTGAAGACAATGCCGAGGATGCTGAGACTTCTGACAATGAGACTCTTGTATCTACCTACCTGTCTCTTAAATCTTTCAAGCAGCTTAGACAGAAAGATGAGTAGAGAGTTCTGATATGTGTTTACTTTCGAATGCGTGTGCAGGGAGCGTGGAAAAGTAAAGTGGGTAAGTCAATCTCGAGGAAAACAATATAGGTTTGTCGTATGCCATAATGTAGAAGAAATTGCGGTGATTGTCCCCAATTATTGGTGGTCTCTGGATTGATGTGGTGTATATGTGGTACAAATGTGAGATTTGTAGGGTTAGTGATACATACTTGTTCTAACCACCATGTTGGAAAGAATAATAGGCAGAAGAAGCTCCTCCAGAAGCTTATGTGGTCATGTATTGTAGCCTCTGTGTGTGTTTATTTGTAGGTTTGTTTTACGTTTTTTTTTTTCTGTAATATTTACAACTTATATTCCTTAACCCAAAGTACTATGGTCTTTTGAACTTAATTACTTAGCCACTTTCTTTATGTAAACTTATTTTGTTTCATGTATCGCTTGTCCAAGAATGATGAAGAAAGAATCACGTTTTCAAATCATGAAAGTTTTTCGGTTCAGATGCCAACTACTTAGCTTGCGACTTTAAAAGAAGGAAACAAAACAATACAAATGTACAACTGCGAAAAGAAACGCAAATAGAGATGAACAAATAACAAAATGTTGATCCTCATCCCACACGCCTAGCCAAACCGAGAAGGTTCAAACCGGCACTCAACTATGAACAAATAACATAGTGATTACTGAATTTGTCCACTACTAAGCTCTCCGCAGGGAATACTTATTTTATGGTTCAACGAGTCTAAACCAATGTCCCTAATGGATTCAAAGAAGAAAAGGTGACAAAATCAGTTCTAAGGAAAGATCGAGCCGATGGATTTGCTTGGAAACTTGAGTCATACAACATATGGTTCAGAAAACAACTAATAGTTCTTTAGCCAGACCACAAGAAGTAATAGCTCAATACGGAAAAAAAAAATAGTCTTAAATCGAAGAAGAAAAACAAGTAAAATGCGCTTAATCGAACAAGCCGAAACCCAAATCTCCATCACTCTCTTCTGCTGGTTCGTCCTGCAAAAATAAATTTACCAAACAATTAGATAAACAACCAGATCATGCTTCGTGGAAATTATTCATTGTTATTAAATTTACCTTCTTCTTCTCCTCTGCAGCAGGAGCAGCAGCTGCAGCACCACCGCCAGCAGCAGGAGCAGCAGCTGCAACCGGAGCACCACCTCCACCACCAGCACCAACGTTCATGATGAGATCAGTGACGTTACGTTTCTCAGCCATCTTGGCGAATAGCATTGGCCAGTATGACTCAATAGTAACACCAGCAGCTTTCACCAAAGTGGCGATTTTGTCAGCCTATCAAACAAAAATTAAAGGATATAAACAAACAGAAGCAAAAGATCTTAATCCAATTTAACTCAGACATATTTAGACAGAAACAAAACAAAAACACTTGTTCAATTCCTGACTTTAAAACTCTTACCAATTCTTACTAACAAAAGATTATGGGTCTAGAGAAAAAACATAGTCACTCAGTTTCTAACTATGAAACGGCACCAAATCACAATGAGAAGATAGAAAAGCAAAAAAAAGGAAGGATACCGACCGTGATAGCAATACCCTCGTCCTCGAGGATCATAACAGCGTAGCTGCAAGCAAGCTCTCCCACTGTCGACATTCCCTGAAACCAATATTATTCACAGATCACTCTGAGAGTAATATATCTATGTGCTTATAAACTCGATACAAAGAAATGAAAAATCATCGAGAGAGTACCTTAGATTGAAATGCTTTCGCAACGCGGCTCCGGCTCGAGAGAGAAAAAGGATCGCTAGGGTTTTTGATACACTGATGGGAGACGCACCGTTTATAAAGAAAGCTTCATTAGGGCTTTAAAGATATATTAGGCCCATTTAAAGATCTTCTGTACATATATTGGGCCTTGTGGGCCCTTTATCCTATATGCCTGAATAAGAGCCCAAATGGATAGATGTCAATGCCAAACACAAAAATTAACAGATTTTCTATGTGTATCACTATCACATGCTTGCTAATGATGCAACATATTGGCACAATTAACATATATTGATTTTATTTTTTCTACAACAAACTAATTTGACAAGTCAAAATGTAGAAAGAAGGAAGGACCAATTGTTGCAAGTTGTCTCTCGCTTAAGTATCTACATTTATGAAGTTCCTTGTAAAGTCTACCTCTACCAGCATGCTCCGCTACAAATGAAGTGTGTTATGTTAAAAAGATTAGATAATTATATTAGTCAATAAAAAGATAAAACATTTAAGTTACATGATCATAGAAAGAACCATAACGCCCAAGAATATTAGCTAGTGTGCCGAAGATGAGAATGTATATTCACTTCTCTTTTCAGCTGATGTTCAACTTGTGATTGTTGAAGCTGGTTCTTGAAAGAACCTTCAGAACAACAATGGGATTGCTCCATTTCATATATATATGTGTGGGATTGGTGAACTAAACAACCAAGGATCTTAAAACAGATGTTCTAAAACTAAGTCCTAGAACATAAACAACAAAAATATAAAATTTTGGAAATCATTGATTGTTCTACAAAAGGGAACAAAACGAATCAAAGGCATACTCACCCGTTGGCGAAATAGAATCTAAGAAAAATACGAAAACTTTGAAATTTGAATCATATAACTTTAATACTAAATTAAAAAACCGTAAGAATTCACATTATTATATGTAAATCATGCTGTGTAATGCGAATTAAATCCTGACTCTATATTATTTTTTGCAAAAAATAATCTAAAAAGCTTTATATTATTCAAAATACAAAGAGTTTAATACCGGTTGTCGAACAATAGTAGGTTCAAGGCCCAAGAAAAGACGCATGAGATGGACATACAGTGGCGTAAATGTTCTTATAACCACTATTTCCATGTTTAGGAAATTTATTTTTTAGCATTTAGTTATTACTTTTTAAAGTTATGATTTATGTATACGAAAACCAATTTAGTAGATGCTGCAATAGATTTAACCCTTAGTCATTTTTTAAAAAACTAGAAAGTTGCGGGTCTAAGTAAATAAATCTCTTTGGACCCCGATCATCCTTTCATATTTTTATCCGTCCCAACTACTACTCGTTTTCGTGATTTTTTGAATTTTTAGGATACCTTTCCAGTCGAACTATCAATATGTAGTATCATTCAAATGATTTACATATCGGGTTAGAATTTGTTCTAACGGTTCTAAATACACAGTTAGAATCAAGTAAACAAAAATATAAACTATCTCAGTTGCGCTGACTGTTGAAGATTTTAAAAATTTGTGTTTATCGGTCAATTAGTTTGCGTTGTAACATGAAAAATTGAAATACCAAAAACCTGGTGAAAATACTTTGCGTTGTAATTGTTTATCGAAGACAATTCTAAAGGGATAAGTCCATATGAAAGGTGAAATGATTAACATTATGGTGCTAAATGAAATGTGAAATGTTTATTACACAAATTCAAATGGTCCTCTATTATATGGGATGGGCTTTGGAGCTGGATTTTAGGCCTGGGAAATCGAACCGAACCGATTTGTCCGAACCGAACCGAACCGAGGTTTGGGCAAATCGGTTCGGTTTCTATTAATTAGGCTAAACCGATCGGAAAAATTTAAAATTATTTCGGTTAACCGAGATTTTTCGGTTCGGTTCGCCCAAACCGAACGGTTAACCGAAAAAAAACCCTAACCTAACCTAACACTAATCCTCAGCCACCAACACTCTTCTTCCTCAGATTTTTCTTCTTCCCTTCCTCAGATTTTTCTTTTTTCTTCTTTGATTCTTCTCCTTCTTCTTCTTTTCCTCTTTCTTCTTCTTTTCTTCTTCTGCTTCGATTTTTTCTTCTCCTTCTTCTCCTTCTTCTTCTTCTTCTTCTTCTTTTCTTCTTCTTCTTCGCTTCTGAGATTATCAAAAACCTCTCGATCTTCTGGACTGCGTCGAGGTTGGTGGTTAACAGCATCGAAGGATTCGAGGAGCACACTCGCTGCTGCGGGAAGGGCAGATCCATCCTCTCGCATCTTCTGTCAGATCGGACATAGATGCTTCACAAAACGGCAGATCCGCCTCTCGCGATCCATCCTCTCGCATCTTCTCTCGTCACAAAACCGAGATAACCGAAGTGCAAAAACCGAAATAACCGTGTCCGAACCGAACCGAACCGAAATTGTTAGTCGGTTTGTTCGGTACATAATTCATTTTCCGAAAAACCCGAAAAACCGAGTAACCGAAACCGAATTACCCGATCGGTTCAAAGTCGCAGGCCTACTGGATTTAATGGTTAGACCGAGTCAAAGCGTGTCAGAGGCCACTTCTGATTTCAACTATATACATAAACAATTTTGAAAGTCTTCATTTTCTGTTTTCGTGGTAAAAAGAGTTTGATTTACTAATATTATAATGAGGATTAGGTTTACCTAACTTTTCCAGTAATTAATTCATTACCGTTACTGCTACGTTGATCAAAGAATCAAATGAGCATCCGATAATAGATAATTTTTCTGTTTTCATTAATTAGATACTACTTATTACGGTCAAAAACGCATGTTAAGGCTTTTGTTTGGTCAAATAACATTCTTTATAGCAAACCTCGAGACTCGAGTCGAGACCATGGAATTTGTCTTTAAGACAACATTTGTATGAAAATGCTTTTCAATTAAAAAAAGAAAAAAACAAAAACTGATGAGAATGATGATGATACTCGTCGCCTCCTCTACAAAGGTGTAAGTAGCTGCGTTAATCTCAAGAAGACGAAACCATCAAACCAACAAGTCTTTTTGTTTTGCTCATTCTATCACAACCACAAGAAGACGATTTTGTATTCTTGTTTCCAAACTGGTAAAGTTGGCAAATTTCTCAGTGATACTTCCTTTTCTGGGAGCTTCTTCGCTGCTTTACTCAATTCTTTTTAGGGTTTCCAAATTTATCTCTTGGTCTTGTTGTAGACTCGAGTAGCTTCTGGGTTCAACCCACAAAGTTTGAGCCTTTTTTTGATTTGCAGAGTCCTCTGTGTTTCTTGGTTTCTCTCTTGATCAAGGTCTGCTTGCGGTTTATGTATCTTACTCGCTAGATAGATGTGTCTGTAGATTGGCAGCATTTATTATTCACTGGTACAAGTGTGAATCTTTCCCAGAATTTAGTCTTGTATCAAGAAGCTCCCAGATAACTTTTGGAAAATTGGCCTAGTTGTTAATATATATATCTATCCTAGGGATTGAATGTTGAATGACTCGTTATTCCTTCTCTTTCTCTGTGTCTTGGTTGTTATAGTCAATTGATTTGTCTTATAAAGACAGTTGCTTTAGCTCTGTTATTCACGATCATTCTAAAGTTGGTAGCTTGTGCTTGTAGAATCTGAGATGGGCGAGCCACTAGGACTGCTCCAGGTGACTGTTATTCAAGGAAAGAAACTGGTGATCCGAGATTTCAAGTCAAGTGATCCTTATGTGATTGTCAAATTAGGAAATGAGGTAAGTTTGGTCAGTGTTTTGCATTGTTCTTGGCAATTAGAACTAGTGTTAGTGTTTCTACCAAAGAAACAAGTGTCTCGTTGTGTTTATTTATCTGTTGATGTGATGTTTTCTTGTTTTGAAAACCAGTCAGCCAAGACCAAAGTGATCAACAATTGCCTGAATCCAGTGTGGGATGAGGAACTCAGCTTTACACTGAAAGATCCTACAGCAGTTCTCGCATTGGTATGTCTACATATCTTCATGAATCTTTCCTTTTGTGACCATCATGATCATGATACTGAAGATTGTTAATGGGGTGGTGCAGGAAGTGTTTGATAAAGATAGGTTCAAGGCGGATGACAAGATGGGTCATGCCTCTCTCAGCCTTCAACCGCTTATCTCAGTTGCTAGACTAAGACATGTAGTCCGCGTTTCCTCTGGCGAGACAACGCTTAGGAAAGTGTTACCGGATCCAGAGAACTGCGTATCTCGGGAGAGCACAATCAGTTGCATAGACGGAGAGGTGGTGCAGAGCGTGTGGCTGAGGCTGTGTGCTGTTGAATCGGGTGAGATTGAGTTGAAGATAAAGTTGATTGATCCTCCTGGAACAAACAAGTAGCAATAGGGTATTTTATGTTAGTCTGTAACACGAGACCGTTTGTCTAGTATAATTGCAACATCAGTATGGTCTTGTCTTGTTTCCCAGTGTGCCTTTGTGACCACTCACACCAATTTATTAGGAATCTTTGAGATACGTTATGCTGCTCTCATCCCTTAGCTTGTTCCATTTATCCTTGTGTGTACATTTTGAGTGTATTGATGGAAACTCCAGGTAAACTACCATAAATGGCAGATTCTCATATCTCTCTACCTTGTTAATAATAAAACACTTGGAAGAAATTATCTGGCAACAAAGCTATCACGCATACCAAAGCTGTGGTGGTGGAACCGACACTGATATTGGTATCTTACGTCACACACACACTTTGTTGTTATCTCTATATCCACCTTTTTCTTTTTTTGGCTCAATTATGATCTTTCTCTTTCTGGTTTCCTCGTAATCTTAACACAAGTCTGATCGTCCTCATCTGCCAGTAAACCAAAGGTGATACGTTTTTTTCCACCAAGAACTCAAAGTTGTTTTGATTCTCATCATCTCTGCATTTTCTGAATTGGCTCAGATATAATTTCTTCGGTGACTTCCATGGCTCCGCATGTCTCTGATGATTCCCTACAGCCTCGAGGTTCTCTGTTTCTCTTATCTTTACGAGCTTGTTGTTCTGTTCCAGTTTACTGTTTTCTGGTTGGATCATCATGTATTATCCTTTGATCTAGCAGTAATGGCTACTTACAGTTGAGTTCCGGTGTGTGCAGATGTTTGTGTTGTGGGAGTGGCGCGAACGCCTATGGGGGGCTTCCTTGGCTCCCTCTCGTCTTTGACTGCCACAAGACTTGGGTCCATAGCCATTCAAGGTAGTTTAGTTATACTACTACTCTCTGTCTTTGATTCAGCCAAGTTTTCATTCTCTTACTGCTTCTTCTCATAGCCGCACTTAAGAGAGCACATGTTGAGCCGGCCCTTGTGGAAGAGGTCTTCTTTGGCAATGTCTTAACTGCCAATCTTGGGCAAGCACCAGCAAGACAGGCTGCACTTGGTGCTGGGATTCCCTATTCTGTGATCTGCACCACTATCAACAAAGTCTGTGCTGCAGGAATGAAATGTAATAACCTTTTATTACTCCTCTTCTACTCCAGATGATCATTCAAACGGTGTATATATCACTGCTTGTACTTCACTTGTAATCTCAGCTGTAATGCTAGCGTCTCAAAGTATCCAGCTCGGCTTGAATGATGTTGTTGTTGCTGGTGGGATGGAGAGCATGTCAAACGTACCTAAGTACCTCCCGGACGCAAGGTACTTTCTGAGTTTCCTAACTCAAACTTTGTAGAAAGAAATATAAGAGATGCAGATTCTTTCGATCTGTTTACTCATCTCTGATTTTCTGTTAGCAGAAGGGGTTCTCGATTAGGCCATGATACTGTTGTTGATGGTATGATGAAAGATGGACTTTGGGATGTGTATAATGACTTTGGAATGGGAGTTTGTGGAGAAATATGCGCTGACCAGCACCATATTACAAGAGAAGAACAGGTCACTCATGTTCAACCTTGATCTGTCTTTTCTGTTTGTTCCGATGGACTCATGACTGATGTGATGGTGAGACTGTCTCACTGATTCTCTTTTCCTGACGTACAAACTTTTTCTTTTTGTAGGATGCTTATGCTATCCAGAGCTTTGAGCGTGGTATTGCTGCGCAAAACACTCAGTTGTTCGCTTGGGAAATTGTTACGGTACACCTCTCCTTTCCCTGCATTCCAGGAATTCACTTTATGGCATTGTAATGGAATATTGTTCATACACTCATATTGATAGGTCGAAGTTTCCACTGGAAGAGGAAGGCCTTCGGTAGTTATTGACAAGGATGAAGGACTGGGGAAGGTAAATAGTTTAGGAACCCTTGCTTCTCTTAGGATACTTTTGATTGATTTTAACTTTGTTTGGCATGAACCAGTTTGATGCAGCCAAGTTAAAAAAGCTTAAACCAAGTTTCAAGGAGAATGGGGGATCAGTCACTGCTGGAAATGCATCAAGCATAAGGTCATCTTTTATCTCTCAACTTTGTTTCTTTTTTCTTCATTTGTAACTCTGCATGCATTTTGTGTTGCTTCCTACAGCCACTTATTGGCTCTGGTTTATGTTGGTGGACAGTGATGGTGCGGCAGCATTAGTGCTGGTGAGTGGAGAGAAGGCTCTTGAGCTTGGACTGCATGTCATCGCTAAGATTAGAGGATACGCTGATGCTGCTCAGGCACCAGAGTTGTTCACAACCACGCCAGCTCTTGCCATTCCTAAAGCTATAAAGCGGGCTGGTTTGGATGCATCACAAGTGGATTACTATGAAATAAACGAAGCCTTTTCTGTAATCGCACTTACTGAGCTCTCAGTGTTTTATAGTTGCTGGGTATGTATAGAGAGGTATGACTGTTTTGGCTTGTTTCCCCCACAGGTTGTAGCTCTGGCCAATCAGAAACTGCTGGGATTAGATCCTGTGAGTCATGAAACAAGTACAGTTGTGGATGTTGCAGACTTAATGTTCAGTCTCTGATGATGTATTTATAAACAGGAACGGCTGAATGCGCATGGAGGGGCAGTTTCACTGGGACATCCATTGGGATGCAGCGGCGCTCGTATCTTGGTCACATTATTGGGGGTAAGTCGTAAGACCAGGCAACAATGGTATTGAATTGAATCCACCCTGAAAATGTGGTTGAATACTTCTGATTCAGGTGTTGAGAGCAAAAAAGGGAAAGTATGGAGTGGCATCAATATGCAACGGAGGAGGAGGAGCATCAGCACTTGTCCTTGAGTTCATGTAAGCCCCCTCTTTAACTCTGGTAAGCATAGCATTAGCACAAGCAAGAGATTACATGTCAATTAATGCTTCCCAACACAATACGTTTAACTTCAACTTGTTGACAGGTCGGAGAAGACAATCGGATATTCGGCACTCTGAAGCCAAGAGATGTTGTTATAACGCAAGAATGTGTGTCACAAGACTGTTTAACTTTGTACTTGAGAGAGATGCAATAAAAGTGTGTTAGAAAATGAGACGTGTAATGTCAATAAAGTAGATAGATTTACCCAATCCGAATTAAATTGTTGAAGCCAATGATGACCAACAAATAAAAGATACTCTATTAAAGATAATCTGACGCAAGAGCCTTCGCATGAATTTTGAGGACTTCAGAGGAAAGCGATAATCAGATAAGTTGAGCATAATCTAGAAGCCTAAAACTGTTGATGTTCAGCCAAAGAGCAGATCAAAGACCAAAAGAATCACAGCACTCACCCAGATGCTTAGGGAAATGAGAGGTAGATTTCCCACAAATAAATTTGCTACATTAAGAGGATCAAATAATACTATACATAAAACCAGAAGTGTATTCAGTTCAAGATTTATTCTCTTCTTTTCGCTTTACATTTGCATGGCTAGGGAGCGGACACAGCTCAGTACTCGCTTACCATTTGAATTGCTAGCTCACCTGTAAAATGTATATCTTAATTGTGGAGGCACTGAAGGAATTCCCTCAGAAGCATTCAGAGGTCATCATCTGCCAGTGTTTCATGACTGGCTTTTCTGTCATCAATGGACATGGCCAGACCGTTGCGGTTCTCAAACTTGTGCAGTTCCGATTCTATGGTTTTGGCTATCACACAACGTTCAGCTTCAGGCTCAGGAAAACCCACGTGGAACGATCCTTGCTTTGCAGGTTCTGCTTGTCCCCGGGTTTCGTAATGATGCTTCACATAGTTGTATAGCTGTTGATGGAAGGGATGATCGATAGAAAAACAATTTGCGCTCTGAGTGTGGTGAGATGACCCAGAGCTTCCACTTCTACAGAAATGTGGGAGGGATGTGAAGTCCATAATCTACGAGAACCACAAGAGTTTTAGACAAGTTGCGTTTCACAGCAAGATCATAAGAAAGAAGAGGCATATACATATACCTTCAATAATTCATCCTTTCCGCAACCGGATAAGACATGAACTTTTTTCCGTGTCCTCTCTTGTAAAAGAGGTTTTACTACCTGCTAGGAGCTCAAAGAGATACACATACGTGGTAAGTATCTAAACACCCTGAGTTACTAACAAAAGAGAATCAAAGAGGCTTACCTTCCAACATGCAGAAAATATATATGGAGCGTTCACAACATAGTATGTGTTTGTCTTCTCTGGATAGTTGAGATCATCGATGGTCGATATGATAGTCACTAACTGCATTAATGTAAGCACTAAAGAGTTATTAATTAAAAAGTATGCTAATGAATTCAACATCTTTGCAGTATCATTTTTCATGAAGCAACTTTGTCCGCAGACATGGACATCATACCTTGATTTGGCTTAGCGCTGAAAGCTTCAACCCCGTCATGTCTAGAACCTTGACGCAGGTGGTGATTGGCCGCCCATTCTTCTTAGAGATAGAAGGCTGTAACAGTGTTTTACTCATTACATCAAGTGACAAAACCGCAAAAAAGAGAGAGTGTAGCCATCTGCCAAGTACTCACCAGTAATACACGGTCTCTATATTCATTGATTTGTATGTGGGACTGGACATAGTAGTGAACCTGTATGTGGAAGAAGAGAAGCACATTCATTTTTTGTTCGTCATCTGATTGTCAAAAGTGCGAGAAAACAATGAAAGCGTCTTACAGAAGCTTTGTCGAATGTGCTGAGGCCGACGCCAATAGCAAAGACAGGCAAGCCCTAAACATCAAGGCAGAAGCAAATCAAGAAGAGAGAATCTGTTTTGATCAGAAAAGGCAATGGAACCATGGGTACTTGGAAGGCTACCTCTTTGGTGTAACCTGACATTCCTATGAGTTGAGAATCTCGTACGTCCCTATACAACTGAGTAGGAACAATAGGTTTCTGCAGAAACCACAAACATAAAAGATCAAGTTTCAGCACTCAAACCAGAACAGACCAAGGAAAGAGGGAATGAATTTAACTCACGGATAGGATACTGTCAATTTCATTATCCACCCTCCAACGCAAACACTCAACCAGCTGAAAGTGAGTTAGAAACGGTGTAATCAGACAAGACAAACTGTGGAGTCACTCAAACCACATAAAAAGTTTTGGAGACGTACCATTGTGTGAGCTTTGCATACGTCCCAGTCTCGTGCTTTCAGAAAACGACCCAAATTCTCTCTCAGAAATCCCTGATGGACTCTCTGCAGATTCACAAAAATACCTTCCTTAAAGGTTCAGTTTTTAACCACTATTATAGAAAAAATCAGTCATAGATTCAAACCCAAATCAAATTTGAGTCCACCTAAACTTAAAAATGAGAAATTTATGGAGAATCTAATGCATCTGTGATCTGCTCAGTTGTTTCCAAGAACAGGTCTAACAAAAGAAAAAACAAACATACCTCATATGTTTCCTTCAATGGCTCCTCAACTAGCACAAACAAATTTGACCAGATTCAGTAATTACTAATTAGAAATCAGAGAAGAAACAGAGAAAAGGTCAGACCTTGATCCATCAGCTCTTGGAATTCATCAATGGCTTCTTCTGAAACGATCCCCATTGTTTTGGCTCACTTCCTCTGCAACCAAACAGATTTGCCCAGAAAAAGTATGAAATCTCCAAGATCGACCTTTTTTTTTCTCTCCTTTTTGTCACTTTGCACCAAACTATGAGTCCATCATTAAAGGTCAAAGAGGTGGTAGGAGAAGAGAAACGACCCAACAGAAATATACACTTTTAATAACCAAGTAGGAGACGAACTACTTTGATTAAGACTGGTCGTGACCAAAAATTAATAAGCAGCTTCTGATTTCTTCTGTGGGATTTGTTGAATAATCAATCAATCCATCCATCAAACTCCAAAAACCCATTTGATTTCCTCTTCCTCCTCTTTGTGTGTGGTTCTTGGTCAATGGCACAAGTAAAAAAAGTCTGTTCCTTCTTTTCTCAATGAACCAACGAAAAAAAGAGAGGAAGGTTCAAACTTTGAAATAGTAAAGAGAAAATTCGACAACTTGCTAAAGCTTTGTACCATGTATGAAATGGTAGCTGATTTGGTGAGCCTTGTCATTTATTGGGAAAAGAAAAAGATCAAAAGATAATGGAATTCAAAGTTGGTCTCTTTTTATTTTTACTGCTTTTTGGGTCAAATATTCAAAGTTGTCCTTTTTAGAAACGTTTTAATTACTTTTCAAGTATAAAGAAGAGCAAATTTGTGGCGTATTATGAGTTGCTTTATGGGTTATTCAAAGGTCAATATCTTTGTATGGCCTATCACACAAAAAGTCTTTCTTTGATTTGCAATTCAAAAGACGCAACAACTTTGGTTTTTGGCTCGTTGCTTTGCTTCTTTCATCCATCTTTGTGCTTAGTTGGCCACCATTGAATGTGAGTTATGTATGACTATGAATCATGGACAGCAGCGAAACAGACTGGGTGGGCCACTTCACTTTTGGGCCTAAAACTAAGAGCAAGCATAAAATTAGTCAAAATCTTTGCCCATAGGCCATAACCTATATATGCCAGCTTTCATCTTTTGGGTCAAAAACGATCTATTAAGGGCTTGAATCCTCAAAAACTAAACATGGAAGGATTCTTAAATGTATGTAAATAAAGCATCATAGTTTAATAGCTGCTGATGTACAAGGTTTTATTGTTGCAATTTTTATGTGTGTTTGACTTTTGATTATTAAAATATAAAGATTCCTGCTTGAGATTCGGATATTCGACCTTGTACACATATGCATCTTTGATTGTTTATGCTTAAACACTTGCCAGTTGCCAATAAGCAACGAGCAAAGGACGTTGACCCATTTTATAGTTTCACATTCTCGACCATGAAAAACTATATATCTTTCTAAAGTTGGATGATGCAAATGTATAATCAAATTTTGTTATACTTTACGGAATTTATTTTATTATAAATTGACACATACGTGGGTGGATAAACCTTGTACTATACGGAAATCGTCATGATATGTAAAAGGTTCAATGTCTTGAAAAGTTCAGGCTTTCACAAACCTCACACGCAAAAAACACCAGAATCATCAGGTCATACATTCCACAAGCACATGTAGATTGCACATATATATATATATATTAAAGGAAAGGAAGAATATTTGATGGGGCAGAGAGGGCAAAAGAAGAGCAAAAAAGTCAACGACAAGAAAACTTGAAATGCAGCGGAGGAGCAATGAGATAGAGGAGGAGGAGGAAGATGGAAGGAGAGGACTTGAGAGCGTGAGAGAGAGCCAGTTGGAAGGGAGAAGCAGCGGAACAGTGTCGATGAACGGAGAGGACTGCGTCTATGTTGGGGTTGGGAAAGGAGACTCGAGCATGGAGGCATTGCGTTGGGCTATTGACAATCTTATGACTTCTTCTTCTACTCTTCTTTTCCTCATCCATGTCTTCCCTGAGACTCGCTTCATTCCTTATCCCTGTCTGTATATATCCTTCTCGTCCATTTGTTATCTTTGATTAAATGTGTGTCCCCGCACTCAAGTGTATGTATGATCCGTGTAGTGGGGAGGCTGACGAGGGAGAAAGCAAGTCAAGAACAAGTAGAAAGCTTTATGTCTCAGGAAAGGGAAAAGAGAAGAACTCTGTTGCTCAAGTTCCTTCATGCCTGCTCTGCTTCCAAGGTCCCGTTTCTCTCTTTCGCTCTTTTGGTGTTGTTTGGATTGTTAAGAGTGGATCAAGATAGTTAGCTAACATATGAGAGAGCAAGTGAGGAACAGGTGAAGGTGGAGACAATACTGGTTGAGAGTGACTCCGTGGCTAAGGCTGTACAAGACCTCATTACCATTCTTAACATTAGGAAGCTTGTTCTTGGGATCGACAAGTCTAATGCTAGGTAATATACACAAGTATGAACCCCACAACTTTCAGTTGTCAGATGACAGGACACCCTTCTCTCTTTATGACTTCTTGTAGGAAAGCAACGACGATGAAAGGAAACAGTGTCCCTGAACTGATAATGAGGAGCTCCGCAGCAGACGTGTGTGAGGTTAAAGTCATATGCCAGGGAAAAGAGATAAATATGGAGCAGGCGACGATGGCGAGCAGCCCAGCTAAGTCCCCAATAGCACATCGACAAAACAAAGATCAACCTCTTGACCCTTTTGCTTGCATTTGCTTTATCAGTAAGCCCAAAACTAACAGATAATAATGTAAAGAGAGATCAAGATGCAGAGACAATACATTTGATGTTACGTTTTGTGTTTCGATAGAGCAAGTAAAAAGGAACTCTGATAAAAACTAATAACGTTACGAGAAACAGTTACAACATTTTTATAAACTACAGCAGCTTATGCATACAAACAAGCATACAATTCATGGCAATCTATAAAAAGCGAAACATCAACACCTGATCATCATCTTTTACCACAGAGTCTTTTAAGGAAGAATAGAGTAACATATGTCTAACCGTAACGCTAGAAGAAATCAAATTCCAAATAGTTATCAGACCCTTTCTGAGCATTCAGAACCAAACCGGCTGCTGTCTTCTGGCTTGATGGTGCCTCTGCAACACTCACAGGTCCCTTTTCCAGCTCAACCGGCTTTGGGATTTCCGGTGGAGTCGCACACCGAATCAAAGCCCAGTTCACACCTTCGAAGAACGGGTGCTGCTTAACCTCAGTGGCTCCCCGTTTGAACCCCAGCCGCTGTTGCGGCTCCTTCATGAGCAAGCCCCGGATGAGGTCTCTCGCTGCAAAACTCACCACAGGTGTTTCTGGGAACCGCAGAGGCTGACCCACCACATTGAACAGTGTTTGTCGGTTTCCTGAGCCCTTGAAAGGCGTTCTCCCAAAGAGAAGCTCGTAAAGGAAGATCCCAAAAGTCCACCAATCCACTGCACTGCCATGCCCTTCGCCTTTGATGATCTCTGGGGCTAAGTACTCGTGCGTGCCCACAAATGACATGGACCGTGCATCGGTTGGCTCGGCTACCAGCTCTGGCAACGGCCTAACTTGATTCGCGGTGTCATTCTTGGGTTTACGGTCCTTCTTAGATTTGCTTGAGAACAAACGTGGGGAGAAGCAAGTGGTGGGGACGGTGCAAGACGGTTGAATGCAGGAGGGCTCAATGCAAGCGGGCTGCACACAGTAAACGTTTTTTCGTAATGGATCTGACTCGATGGCGGCAGATTTCACTAGAGTGGGGCTGACAAGACAGCGGAGTGAAAGGTCAAAATCAGAGAGCATTATATGTCCGTCTTCCCGAACTAGAACGTTTTCAGGCTTAAGATCGCGATACACAATCCCAAGCATGTGCAGGTATTCCAAAGCTAGCAATGACTCTGCTATGTAAAATCTGCCACACATTGAAAACAAAACCCTCAGTGAGATGAGAATAAGAAACTAAGTAAATGGCTTGATCCCAAAATATTCTCTTTTGTCATTTATCCAATACTTTGTAATAAGATAAAATCAAAGGAAATGCTAATCTTGACAGACAAAGGAAAGATGACTCACTTTACGGCTTGCTCAGAAAAATGCTTCCCCGGCTGGCGTTGCCTGAGAGTATGCAAATCTCCTCCGGGACAGAATTCCATCACCAGGCACGAGAACTTCTCAGTCTCAAAGTGAGTGTAGAGGGTAGGGAGAAACGGATGATCCAAAGACTGGAGAATCTCTCTTTCGGTCTGAGCTCGGAGAAGCTTCTTGCGACTGGCAAGGGATGTCTTGTCCATAACCTTCATAGCAAAGTAACACTTAGTCCCGCTAAGCTCAGAGAGATAAACACTCCCAATGTCCCCGCAGCCTAGCCTCTTAAGGAGCCTGAAATGGCTCAGACCTAAAACCCCATCCCGAACCCTAACAGCCTGGATTGCTTCCCATCTCAAGTCATTGGCCTTGTGGGGTTTGTTGACAGTGCTGCTAAAGCTGCTGCAACTACTCTCGTCACTGACATCACTGCTTGTGCTTCCTCTGCAGATACTGCTCTTGCCACTCTCCATGAAATCAAGGCGGCCACTTAGCTTGGCACTACCACTTGTCTTGCCAAGACTGCTGGTACCATCACTCATTTTGGCTGAAGCAGAGCTGGTCTTGACACTGCCAAAGCCAGATGTTTTCTTTTCATCAATGGTCAATGAATCTACATGCTCAAGAACGGTGGATAGGGAGCTAAAATCGGGTTTACAAACAGCTGAGTCACTAGATCGCTTCTTAAACGACTCTGGCAACCGTTTATTCTCCGGAATTCCTACAGCAGCTGGATTTGTTACTGATCTTTGTAACTGCGTCGGCTCAAAAATCTCGGCTTTGGCTGGCTTCTGAGCTTCGATTTCAGCTTTATGAGCACTGGGTTTACGAGTAGACGCCATTGGGAGACAAAATAGATTATCTTTAGCTAACGGGAAAGACCCATCTTCCTTCAAACCCTAGTTGGATCATGAGAACAAGTTAGAAGAAGAACAAAGCCCCACAGCACAAAACTAATGTCTTTGATGTACAAGTAAAAAGAAAGAAAAAAACGCAGATCCCAAATGGGAGAGACGTCGACGAAGATCTAAAATGAGAAGAATAAGACAAGGGAGATCTGGAAACAAGGTAAAGGTAGTAACTTTAGGAGAAACCCTAGAAAGAAAGAGAGGAGGAAGGAGATACCTTGGGTGTGGATTGGCGCAGAGAAGATTCGAATAAGAGAGGAAAGTACAGTATATATGCTTGCTGCTACAATCACTTCAGCTTCACCTCTGTTGCTCTACACACTTGTCATTTCGCCGGACAAGAACCCGGAGGGGAGGATCCAGTCACACAGCCAAGACTTACAAAAAGCTAAGGGGGTGTTACAAATCTAAACCTTAAAGAATTGACTTTAACTCCACCATTGAATAACACCAAACTTTTAAAATCTAATGAAGTATAAGATCTAATAACACTAGATTTTAACGTTAGATTTATAATCATTAGTTGAATAACACTGGATTAGTGTTGGATTTCAATTCTATTAAAATCCATCATTGAATAACACCACCTAAGTTACAAGATAATACCTTTCGCTTTTTTTTGTTTGTGTTAGTATAATACTAGTATTAAATAATGCATCACTTTAATTACATCAATTTTCTATATCCGTATTGGATACAAAAGAAAAGGAAGAAAGAAAGCTGAATGATCACAAATGTGCGTGTTTGCATAAATTGATAATTCCTGAATTTCTTAGAAAAGACAAATGTTAAGCAAATGATGAAAGATTATGTTTTAGTTTCACGACGCAGACAATTAGACCTGTTGTTAGTAAGCATTAATGACTTTGAGAAGAAAAAAGAGAACAAGGCATGCCAATTACGATTTGTACTCTCTTCCCTCATTATGTTCCTATGCCCTTTGCAAACTTCATTATAGACACAGTAGAAACAGCCAAACTGAGGATGAGTTTCAACTTTGCAGTAGCGGAATATTCGCTGACAATCACATCACATGCCGTTTGGATGGGAACCTTTTTAAATCTCAACTCAAGAGATCTGTGTTCCTCGATTTACATTTTAGTTTCTATTATCAATAAGCATCACATGTTTCTGGACCAAGCAGGCTAAAGAATAACCCCCCTACCCTATGACATTTGGACTTTCCATGAAAAATCTTATTTGCTATTATCAATCCTTCATATGCTTCAAATCCTTATTATTCAGAAACATAACAAAAGAGCCTTTATTAAAAGCTAGCACGCCATGTTTTCTGATGATGTGGACCATCAGACTATTAACCAAGACAAAAAATCAGAAAAAAAACAGGGACATAAATGACTGTTTCATTCATGGGTAAAGCAACATGATGATGCCCTTACTTACTAGGGAGACTCCATCAGTTTCATCATATCAGAGACCGTGCTTGTGTAATAGTCTGGTTCAATCTCGTTGCCCTCTTTTAGTAGATTTGATTCACTTGTCACCCCTGTTTTGAGAAAGCCTAATCACTGTGAGTTCACTTAAACATTGTCCACATATCGCCATTGATTTGTATTGGCTTGGAAAACTCAAAACAGAATCATACAGTCAATAGCAATGACCTGTTAGGACGAGGAGAGTTTTGCAGCCAGCATTCTGTCCAAACAAGATATCAGTATCTAGCCTATCACCCACCATGCACATTCTTGACGTTTCTGTCCCAAATCTGCAAACACAAGGAAAAACACCTCTTCATCACACAATCCTATATACTGCACACTGTTGTGGGATTTCATGTGCACATACTTTTGTAGCAGAAAGTCCATCATGAAAGTAGATGGTTTCCCAACAACTATTGGTTCTCTTTCAGTTGATCCACACATCGCAGCAACCATACAACCAGCACCTAGAATTACAAGTAAGAAAGAATTTGATGCTTTTAAAACCCATCTGCTACTTTGGGCACTGTGGCCATTTGAGTCTAATGACCATACCAGGCCACTCTTGGAGATCCGTCATATGTCCTACTGCATCACGGTTGGTTGCAATGAAAAGACATCCCGGATTCTCGCGTACACAGAGGGTACCGTATCTGCCATTTCCGTTATTGTGTTAGCCTAAACTCTCGGAAACTTGATTAAGGCAACCTACTTGCATGCAACAGTTATCCATCTTACTGAAGCTTATAGTAGTTTATATTGGGGTCTAGTCCGACCACAACTGCTCCCACCTGGCAGAGGAAGTCATACATGATTAGAAAATAAAGCAAGATTCTATTTTTGGAGAAGGAATCCAAGTCTTATGGCACAATACGCTTTTATCATGTTCAAAGAGAGAGTTTGATTTCCATTGTGCCCTCTTTTCACCGTCTTCCTGCATGTAAACAAATACTGCTTTAGATAAACAGAGGAATTCGAAGTATTCAATTTTTGTTGGTCTAAACACTCGGGTCCAATAAGTATCTAACATATCTATTACAAGCATATGAGTCCTCGAATCCAAAAACGGTCGGAAAAAAACTACTTACAGGACCACCGAGACCTGTAAAACCAGCAATCTGGAGCTCCTCAAGAATGCCTTCCCCACCAATCACATAAACCTTCTTGTCCTTATGGAAATTGTTGACTTTGAGGTACATAGCGGCCGCAAATGACGAAGAGAAGATCTCATCCTTGCACATTTTTTAAAATGGTAAGCAGAGGAAAAGCGAAGTCGGGAATCGAAGTAGGAAAAGTGAAGTATACCTGAGTAACAGAAGGGACACCCAAAGATCGGAACTTTTCAGCGTATTGCCTCCTCGATTTGACCGAATTATTGGTCACAAAGACAACATTTTTACCCTGAATATCGCAAAAGATAAGAGAGAGGGGAAAGGAAGGGTGAGAGTAAAACGAAAAGGGAAGAAAGTGCCTTAGAGCGGATTAGGTCCAGAGTTTGGGCGACGCCATCGATGAGCTTTTCACCCTTCCATATAACACCTGGACCGAATCATCAGAGGGTAATTAAGGATCACTATCGAATGAAAAATAGGGAGAAAAGAGTGTACCATCGCAGTCAAATAGGAAAGTGTCGACAGAGTCAAAGAGAGATTTGAAGTTACGGGAGGAGAGAAGCTGAGGCGCCATTGGAGGAGTCAGGAGTGTCTTCTGATGATGATTTCATGATTCTGGCCAGAGTACACACACTTGGCAAAACGACACTGTTCCATTGAGAGAGGCCCATTATTATCGGGCATGAACAGGCCCATTTCAATTTTGAATTATAAAAATCATACATATAAAAGTAGGGTTTCACTCTCCCATGATTGGTCCACTTGACATTTTTTTTATTTATATTTTCTTAAATTTACCTTTAATATATTAATCTCTAATTAACTCCCTTTAAAACTCATGTGTAACTCCACATTTAAATTCATTTGTAACTCCTCCACTAAAATGCATTAACTATTTGAAAATGATATTGACTATAATTTAAACTCTATATTTAAACTCAATAGTAACTTCTACCAATAAATAATAATTTGTAACTCATACTCAATAATTATAAGAGTTTCACCACTTCTCATCTAAAATATCAATTCTCTTATCATTCTCCACCATATTTTCAAATTTGTAAATTTACTTTATTTTATGTTCTTGCATGAGTTAAAAACAATTGTGTCATGGTGATAGTGAAGGTTTGATTGTAATATTTATTTTTAAAGATTATATGATATGTAGTTTACATTGTATTCAATTTGTACTTCGTATATTTTATTTTTAGAGATTATATGGTATATATGTAGTTTATATTGTATTCCATTTTATTTTGTTTTCACCGCATTACAAGAATATATTTCTTTCATTTTTAGTTTTTAAAATTCTTGCTATAATATTTATCTGTTTCCCGATTTATCTATGGAAGTTCAAAAGCTAATTATTCTAATATTCACACAAGTCAATCAAATTGAAATGATATATCTTTGTTTTTTACTATTGATGTATGATTATTCTCTTTATCTATTTATTCAAACAAAAAACATTATTCGATGTTTTAGCATTTTGAAATTAAAATTTTTAATGCATTTCTCAAATATATGTTCTAACATGTAGTGATATGAATATCATTGTAGTATTTTTCCAAGGTTTGTGGTCAAAATTATTTTTTTCCAACAAAATTAAATTAATAAAAACAGTTAGATAATCAATAGCAAATGTTTAAATATCATGTTGGTAAAAAGATGTGAGAAAAAGTATCTTTAATGAAAAATGTATGCTATTCATCAAGCACACAAAAATTATGAGAAAAATGTATGGTAAAAAGATGTGAGAAAAAGTAACTGTTTTTCCTTTGCATCAAGCACACAAAAATTATGATTGTATATAAATAAGTTGAATTTTCTTAAAATTGAAGATATTAGAACTTAGACTTAATAAAAAAATGTAAGTAGGTGTTAGATATATCTAGAAACTACACTATTCTTGATATATGTTTTTTTAATTACAATATACAAATAATTTATAAAATATTTCGAGTCGTACCACTTAATTGATTAATTCTTACAATACTAAAAAATAAGTGGTGTTAAAAAATTATGCATTGTAAATTTGTAATCATAGAAGAATATGTGTGATAATATTAAAAGCATAATTTTCTTTTAGTTTTCATTTCAAATTTTAAATTCATGTTTAGATTAAAATTGTAACAAGTCACGCGTAGCGTGGCTACATTCATCTAGTATTATCTATTTGTTGGCTTGACATGACAAATGTAAAACTGGCAGAGCAAGTCCGATGTGTAAATAAGCAAGAAACAGAAGGTGTCTTTTGAGGGGAAGAAAGATGAGGAATGAGTGTGAGTTGTTGTTGTAGGAATCAGTTTCTAACTTTCTATTTTCGTATCCAAAGTGATCAGCTTTCTTTCTCCTCAAGTCAACCTTCCTCAACGTTCTCATGTCCGACCTCCTTCACGGCCTTTCCTTCAAATTAACCCATGACATCGTTTCTGAGTTGAACGGGTATATATATATGTACCCTGTACAAGTGACGAGAGACAAGGAGCGGGAAGAATATTATAACTATAAAGATTGGAACACATAAACTTATATACAACTACAAGTAACCTTCCCTTGTTAATATATTAATGCATATGTTAGATGAAAAGAAAATCAGTTACTTCCCTTGTTAATATATTAATGCATATGTTAAATCTGTTTGGCTTTAGTTCGATCGAACACAACCAATTTAGCTGAGACAAAGATCTGCATTCTTCTATCTACATCCAAATGGATTTAACTTAACTCCCGATAAATAGTGTCTAACATTTATTCTGTTAATTTCGGACTTTATTACTTTTTACTATGTATTTTCGTAATTAAGTTAATCTTTTTTTCTATAATAGCTTATTCTGCTATGCGATTAATAGGATATATATTTAAAATTTGGTAAGATTTTGGTACTTTCATAAATATCTCTAACTATCCAAAGGTTAAAATAGAGGTAAAGTCTAATATGCAAATATTTATAATTTCAGGACATTTTGCAAACATTTTTTCCAAAAAAGGGTCTAATTTGCTAATTATCTCTAGATTGTAAACCATCCTCAACTTTGTGTTTATTAGTCCCGTGGCTATAACACACCATTAGTATTGAATATTTCTTCAAGTACTGTAAAATAACATTGATTGGAATAGATATATGTTTTATTATGGAAACAACCTTACATTTCATAACTAGAAAACACTCCATTACTACAATACTCCATTACATAACATTGCATAACCATTTATCATTATTATTAGACTACTACAATAGTCCATTACCATACATTACCACTACTTAGAATAGTCCATTACCATACATTACCACTACTTAGAATTTCATTATTATTATTAAACGATACCATTAATATCGTTACGTCGCTCCGCCGCTCCAATTAGGGTTCACGTTCTTCTTTGGGAGCATCCACGGCTTGGTTGAGAGTGTTTATAACGGTTCCAATATAGCTTTTGCCCTTGTTTAGAGATGCTATCTTTGCAGGTTCGTTCCAGCCTATAGCCTCCCCTACCTCTACCATGGTAGCGAGAGTCACAATGGGAATATTTTTCTGTCTAGCTAGTGGTAACACTGTAAGCAAAGGTTCTTTCGTCTTATCGGCTTCATCCGCAAGTAGAAGCAAGCTTACGTTATCGGCTTCGACTTGGCCTTGCACTATCCAAAAAAAAAAATTGAGAAAAAACTGTTAAATAGTTTGTAGTGGAAGCTCAGTGAAGACCACTTACTGATTCTCTTTTTATAATTTGTCCGTTTAGATTCAACAAGTTACAAATGTAGAGCTATCCCCATTTCAATAGAGAATCACTCAAAATAAATTTATAAAAATAATAAACGGATTTTGACTAGAAAAAGAAAGTTGAATATGTAATTAGATAATTCGTGACAAAACTGATATACAAAATTACAAATGGTTTCATAGAACAAATAAAAGTAATAGAACAAGTGGATTGGTTTTACCTGGAAAGTCGAAATCGATTAGATCTCCATCCCAATCTAAACCCTTAAAAAATAATATAGCGGCTTTTTGTTCAGCATTAGAAGAAACAACCATTTTTTCAAGTGAAAGAAAAGAGAGGTTTAGGAAGTACTGAAAGATTTGAAATGTATGAGTGTATTAAAAATATGGTTTCCATGTCCTATATATAGGCATGAAAGGGTATGAAAGCATGGAAAAATATCCCACTTATTCCACAAATATCTTTTTGCTTTTTGAATTCTCATGCACATGAGATTTAACAACCAACAAAAACCATATGCATGAGAAATTGGTGTGTTCTTTGAAACTTATGTGCCGAACAGAATTGGCCACCAGCATCTTTGTTTCTTTGACCAAAAAAAAAACAGAGCTCATCAGTCTTGAGTCTCAAATATTCACGCGGAACCTTTTAAGTTTTATATCGAATTTTTCTTTACCCACGCAATATGTCTTTTTTTCTTTTTTTATAGTGTCCCTGCTTCCAATACATATTGAAAGAAATAATAAAAGATGAAAAAGGTCCTTCTCCCACCAAAAAAAATAAAAGATGAAAAAGGTTCATATGAATATATGATCATATCTATTATGAAATATAAAAAAAAAATATATATGTAGTTTTCGTTAGTCATCCCCTATTGTATACATGGTAAATATTAGGTGTCGGGATCAGCTTCACAGAATTTCTAATTAAACAAACGTTAGTTAGACCTTCATTTTTTATATTTCGATTAAATGAACCAAAATAAAAATCCAATAACATAAGAGGGCCTTCTGCATGAACCAAAATAATAATCCAGAAATCTGTAGGTGTCGGGCTTTTAACTCTCCCTCAATTGCTTCTCTTTGTTTTGAAGAGGGCCTTCTGCATTTTCAATGTGAGCCCACTAATTTTGGGTTTATATACAAATGAATGAGATTAAACCAAAATAAATAATCAACATAACCGGATAAAGGAAACCGGAATATGTAATTCACACTCTATTATAACCCATTACATGACGGTCATCTCAAGCTATTGGAAGTTGCTATGAGGTAGGCTAGTATGTCATTATTTGCTTAACGAGTACCTGTTTCTCTTTCAGGTGAACATGTTTAAAAGAAAAATCGTGGTTAATGTTAATCATTATGCCCAGTCTTCTGTGTATCTATTATTGTCTATGACTCTTTGCTGACTCTATGTTTCTTAGTTGAATCTGATATGCTATATTATGCAAGGTAAGTAGTAATTGATAATTTCTTTCGTTGTGCTCCACATGTTGTACGAGCTGATTAGAATCTATAATCATATTATTCAGTAATTGGGTTAGAGCAAATCTTGTAATAGATCCGAATTGTCAGATTGTGGTACGCATACAATATATATAAATTACACCAAGGCCATGAATGTTTGATAGATTTTGTTGGTTTTTGGATTTTGGCTTTTGGTTTTTGATTTTTGTAGTTTTTGATTTTGCTGTAGATTTTGGATTTTGCAAAATCTTGAATGGCAAGTTTTTTTTGTTTTTGGTTTTTATATAATTATTTTTTTAAAAAACGTTTTTAATATATTTATTATAATTTCTATTTCTAAAATTGGATATTTAAATTTAAAAAAAAAAGAATTAAAAAAAAAGTTTACGATTGATTTTGTTGAAAAATCTTTAAAAAGTGGTTTTTGTTGTAAAAGTCAAGGAAAGCTGCAACATCAAATACACATGCGTAAACGATCGTAAAATAATATTTTGTGTGGAGTCCACCATCACTATGCACTATAGTAACTTATCTTTTCTACTTCTATATAAACGATCGAAATCGTTCGATGTAATTCACACCTTCACAACTTCATAACAACAAAACTTCAATAATACGAAGTCTTTCTCTCACTCTCTCATTTCCTTCTATTTCAGTATCCCGATTTTCTGCGGGTATAATTTTCTCTTCATTAAATATTTATATATTCACCATAAAATCAAATACTCTTTTATAACACGTTATCAGCACGATCACTCTATGATCGCTGAAATATTTATCTATAATATATACCCTATTATACCGGGCGGTATGTCGCCTCGTTAAATTTTTTTTATTTTTCAGTGGTTGTTTAAAACACCATTATTTACTCGTTACTATAGTGGGAGGAATGTCGCCCCTATATGTAAAATTTGTCATGGCTGCATTATGCACCGTAACGATGGACGGCTTAGCCGCCGATAACGTGGATGACTCCGTCACCATAATTTATTTACTGTTATATGGATGACTCTATCACCATAATTTATTTATTGTTATATTGTGGATGAATATATCACCACAATATTGCCGTTAAAATATATTTATATTATGGTTATTATATAATGTGGATGACTCTGTCACCATAATTTATTTATTGTTATAATGTGGATGAATATATCACCACAATATTGCCGTTAAATATATTTATATTTTGTTTATTATATAAGGAGGTTCAATCACCTTATATAAATTTATTATTTGAAATTGTTAAATTTAACCGATTGATTTATACAAATATATATCTGAAACTGGTAAATTTTAACTGATTGATATTTAAATTTACAGATTGATTTTCGATTAAAGCTTTTTCACCAACGGTCACAAAGAAAAATTTTCGAAATTTTTTCACTTTTCTAACGGCAATGAACAGTATTTTTCAATCTATAAATACATTCATTTTTCACTCATTCATTCACACAAAAATTTCATCTCCCTCAAATCATTTTTCTAAGAAATTTGTAATTTTCATTTCGAAAAATGATTCGCTTGTTTTTAATGTTTTGTTTAGTTTTAGTTATCGTTTGTATTTATGGTCTCTTCGTTGGAGATTATACCCACGAAGAATTCATCATAAATATTAGTTTAGTTTTCTATGCAATCATGTTCCTTGTAATCGTTTGGATTATTAATATAAATGGTGCATTTTAAAATTAATAAAATTATCGCACTAATAATATTTATTCGGTTTTTCTTGTGTTTAGATAAATAATTATGGCAAGCATTAAGAAGCTTAAGTTTCCGGCTCTAGACATCACTTTGGCCAATTATATATCTTGGATTGCAAACGTCGAACTACATCTAGAATCTTTTGGTTTAATGGAAACCATAAAAGATAATAATACTTCGACGGTTCAAGAAAAGGAAAAATCGGTGAACTTTATTATAAGACACCTTGATGAAAGTGTCATATGTGATTATGAACACATGAAAGATCCCAAAGAGATCTGGAAATCCTTAAAAGATCAATTTGATCATCAAAAGGCCATAAATCTCCCACTTGTTCGGGATGAATGGAAATGTCTAAAGTTCCAAGACTTTGACAATGTGATAAATTATAAAACCGCTATGATGGAAATTGTGGCTAAACTGAGATATTATGGGGATACCATTACTGAATCTCAGAAGATTGAAAAAACGTATACCACGTTCCATAAAAACCACATTACCCAGCGAGAACTATATATGTTACGCGGGTTTACCAAATTTTTGGATTTTTTTGTGCAACTCCTCATAGCGGAAAAGATGAATGAGATCGCTCATGCGGATAACTGAAATGCTTGTAGTGAGACTACTAGTCTCCAGTAATGCTATTATATAAAGTATTATGTATTTCGGTTATTTCAGAATAATGTTGTTCCTTAATATAAACTGATGCATAATTATTACATGTTTTATATTTCAATAAAGTTTGCTTATATATATTAACATTTATGTTTGTTTACAGAATGGATGAGGATTCAAACAAAACGATAGCAAGGAAAACTATCAAAGAAATTTGTATACCAGATAGTGGAACAATACACACTATTCTGAAGAACAAGAGATTTTTCTGAGTTAAAACCGACAAAGATAATTGTTAATACAATATCGGGGCCTACAGACCTGATTGAAGGAAGTGGCAAAGCTAACTTTATGTTGCCTATTGGAACAAAATTTTCCATCAACAATGCCTTGTATTCTCCAAATTCGAAAAGAAATTTGTTGAGCTTTAAAGACATATACCTTCAAGGATATGAAACTCAGTCTGCTACTGAGAGTGGAAAGAAGTATATGTATATAACTTCGAATAATTCCGGAAAAAGGCATGTATTGGAAAGATTCCCAGAACTTCCTTCTGGCTTGCATCATACTTATATAGATGCCATAGAATCGCATCTTGTGATTAAAAGAAATCCAGAAGATTTCTCATTGTGGCATGATCGCCTTGGTCACCCAGGCACTACAATGATGCGAAAAATTATAGAGAGCTCACATGGTTGATCATCACGGATAATACAAATAAAAACCTATCATACACTATACCGGATCAAAACGGTAATCATAGTAGTACTTTAGGGTCGAATCCACAGAGACCAGAGATGCACTTTAAAATTAATAGATTAAATTAAGCTAAGACAAAATAAAATAAGATTATGTTTTTCTATCAATCTAACGAGAAAATAAATAAAGAAAATAATAATAAATAAATATTAGGCATAGGGAAATCATCCGGGATGTGACTAAACAATTAAATCAATTAATTGGAAATATTAAGATATGTTCATAAACTCAATTCACGATGATAAAGGCAAGTCGCTGTCGCATAAATACCTAACTTAGCAATACTAAATCAGAACTTAAACCATCGGTTCGCCTAACAAAGTAAAGCTAGCATTAACAAGCAAGATTGATATGTTCACAAGGTGCCACGACTACAACCATCGTTGGCCAAGGATCACCTTGCTCGACTATGTTAATTCCAGTGACTAAACAGCCCTCTCGGTCGCCAGATTAATCACCTATGATCTAGAACAAGTTAGCTACTCAAGCCCTAGCATTAAGAACAAAATAGAAGAAGAACTATAAAATAAATTCCCAAACTAACAACCTAATAATCGGATCACATCCCTTCAGAATAACCCTAGCCTAATAAGGAAACTACTCAAACATAAAGACTAAAACAAAGATGAAACTATAAAGAAACATCTTTATTAAAATAAAACTAAGAGTGTATTGAGATGTGAATCTCTTACAAACTCTAAAAGCTGTAGAATGAATTGTGTGTCTGAATTACAAGGTCGTGCCCCCTTTATATAGTAAAAGGAGAGGGGTTGCAAAAGGAAAACAAGAGAGAAAATGGAAAGAAGAAAAATGGAAAGCCTTGGAGAGTCAGCAAAGGGGATCGATCGATCCTCGATGTGGATCGGTCGATCCCACCGTCTTTCTTCGTCTTGGGTCAAAACTCTCGATGGGGCCGAATGGTCCATGGGCCTGGTTGTTCGGTTCCACCGCCTTTTCCACTGCGGACCATAAAACTTCATAGATCGATCGATCCTATGGTTGGATCGATCGGTCCTTCTTCATTTCTTCACACTTGGTCCATTTTCATGCTTATTCGATCCAAAATCTCTTCTTTTCCAATATTTGCCCTTTTGACCTGTAAAACACTAAGTGAAGTAAATAGTCCTAATATCTAACTAATATAGGTTAGTTGACTCAAAATACGATCCTAAAACAAAGACTAAAAACGATAAAAATAAGACTCATCAATTCCCCCAGACTTGAATCTTTGCTTGTCCTCAAGCAAGAACAATCAGAAACACAAATCCTGAAGGGAAAGGTTTGAAAACAAGAACTTACAACTTCTCGAGAATCTCCGTACATCTTCCGTGAATCCGTCACTCAAAGGATTGAGCTTACAACATGTAATAACCATTGGCTTAGCAACTCTCCGTACTGATGTCCCGGGATCTCAAGGAAGCTCCAAAATCTCCATTATTGACTCCCTACATTCATTCTTTACAAGCATGCGGTCTTAACGAGGGAGTATCGATCAAAGATCGCGTAGACGCTCACCTTCCTCTAGCTCCCAAGACATTCTTCTTATGGTTCCTTTCCTCCTCTTCCCTTTTACTCTTTTGAGATCGATTTCTCCCTTCTTTAGGGTATCACTCTATTTTTTTCTATCGATCTCTTTTCTCTTTTTCTCTTTAGCCCGGGGTTGGTTTTCATGAATCCGAAGTATGCAAGGGGGTAACCATGCATCCCTCAGCCCACTTCTTTGTTTACCACATCCCTTTTCTTTTCTTTTTCTCTTTTTCTTTTTCTTATTCAGGAGAAGAGATAGGGGAACCATACTTTTTAGAAGTTATGCGTGTCGCGGAAAGCATTGAGTCAGAGGTCGCGTCCGATGTATACCAAGCCCCAAGTTGAGAAGATTAAGTCCAAATTAAACATCTTGTCATGGGTGGAGTCAATGCCAAGTCAATCGGATTTCCAAGAGATAGGGACTTCTGGTGAGTTGTTCGGCTATGGTGTTCCAATCTTCGGCTCTTTAAAAGGAAATATCATGACGGATAGCAGAAGATGTTAGTACGAACACACGATTCACAAAAGAAGTCCAAAGTTCCAACCATTTTGACATAATAAAACGACTCAAATAAAAGAAAAATGTTAGCATAATGGTCACATATCCCCCCAGACTTACTTCACACCGTCCCGGTTTGTAAGAAAAATCAAAGAAAGGAAATGCAAATCATAAGAAAAACAAAAGTTAGAAAACATAAGAGGGACCGATCGATCCTGAGAAGAGATCGGTCGATCCTACCGTTAGAGATACAAATCCAAATACAAAAATACATAAGTTCAAAAATAAACGAAAAGGTATGGTACAGAGGATAGAACCAGTGAATTAGAGACTAGGGAGACGGTGGAGAGTCGAAGACGCCTGGGCCTCGTCTGGTACGAATGCGGAAATCGTCCTGCACGCTAGTCTCTGAAGTCTCATGGCTAGGTGACGATAGCCAAGTAGGAAAGTCCTCCTCATCATCAGCAGCTCGGAAAGCGGGGATGGACTCGCCAATGGGTGCCTCGCCAGAAGGACCGGCTGCGTGCTCTGGGACGGATGATGGCGGTGGAATAGGCATACGTGGAGAAGGAGATGGTGGTGGTGCGACGCAGCAGAGCCAAGAAGCAATCTTAGTCAGCAGGGTGTTGTTCTTCTTGGTCGTGTCGCAGACCCATCGCTCAAACTCCGTAGATGGCTCAGTAGCCGTATACGCGCTCAAGTCGATCTCAAAAGGAGGCACCTGTCCGGAGTATGTCTGAAATGGTGGTGGCTGAGAAGCAGGAGGCTCAGAAGGACCAGCCTCGTCAGGCTGCCTAGCGCGGGCTGCTCTCCTAACACCACTAGTCTTCGGCGGAATGGGTCTCTCGCAAAGCACCCCAGCAGGCGGATAGAAACCAATGTTTCCTGGAATAGCGAGAGATGTCAGATCAATGCGGGGCAGGCGAATGTACCTGTAAATCCCATCCTGGCCCTGGAAACGATAGACCAGCGAGTGACGAATGAGGATCTCGCTCGCGTAGAGGTGCTCCCGATCAATGTATCGCGCCTTGTTTTCCGGTAAGGGACGTGTGACGCTAAAGCCGCAGAAGGCAACGATGGGAGTCACCATACTGCCGATGGTGATGACCTTCTTCGAGGATCGAAGTGCGTTGTTGCGCACCTGGATAAACTCCTGGCAAAGTAGAGCGGCGAAGTTGACGCGATGCGTCTTGTTGTAGTTTGCCGAGGCAGGGTCGGTGATGAACGGGTGGAGCCCGTAGAAGCACATAGAGAGCTCCGGTAGCTGTAAAGTACCCATCTCGGCGCGGGCAAAGATGGTGCTGCTTATGAAGCGAACAGCGAGGCGGAGCACCGGATTGCGGATCAGTGCCTGCTTGGCACCTCGCGAAACATAGTCACCGGACCCAAAGGTCTGCCAGAACTCAGAAGCGTCTGTGACCCCATCAAACTTGGTTTTCTCTCTCCTCGGAAAGGCATAGAGATTGCAGAGCTGGCTGAGCGTGATATCGAATGGTCTCTTGGCGAGGAAGAATGAGATAAACCCGTCGGTGGCATCAAGTGGATCCGTCGGGTAATGAAGCTCCACCGTGGCTAGGAACTCAGCGGCTGCATCAGGGAAAAGAGGCCACCGCTTCGCAGGGAAGCTTCCGAAACCGGCATTGCGCAGGAATGCCGTCACGTCGTCTAGAATGCCCATTGCCTCCAAGACATCGGTGTCTAGGAACCGAGTCGGCTCAAACTTGCAGGTACGAAGCGTGGTGGTATTCTTGTGGTCCGTGCTACTCCACTCTCTTTCTCTGGTGGCTGGTTCTTTGCCGCTGCGTCGTTGTCTAGGAGCCATTTGCTGAAAACAGAAACACTCAAAACCAAGTAAGTATAGATTTCAAAACTTAACCAAAATCAAAAATGATTTCGTAAGCTTATCGAATGACACTAGACAAGCAGTGCGACGCAAGCAACAACATCCAATTAAACATAGAACCGAAATCTCTATCGCACTCGCGAAATGCAAAACAGAAAATTCGATACATGTAATGGTATTAAACACATGCAATCAACAATCAGCATTCTCTCGAACTCAATCGTCTCTCTCAATCCATCAAATTGCATTTCTAAACTTCTAAAAATCGAAATTCTATGGTCTAACACACGAAATTTCCAAGTTTCTCAAAAGCAAATCAATGGCATTTCAAAACAGAGAAACTATCAACCCTATAGCATTCCCAACAACCTATTTCAACCCAATAACAAGAGATTACAAAGCTCTATCACTTAAAAGTGTAAAAACCCGAAATCCCTAAGCAAAAATTCGATCATAGTACCTTGGTCAAAATGAATTGGGTATAGGGGGATCAGATAGAGCTCGAAAAATAGTGTGACTTAGCACCAAGAATCAACAAAAACAAATGAGAATTGAGAGAGATCGAGAGCTTTGAAGTTCTTAGAGAGAGAGAACAATGGAGGAGAGGGATCGATGGAGGAGAGAGAGGACTCGATCTCCATCGATTTTATGCCCAAAAACTGATTTAAAACCGGTTTAAATCGAGTTGCAACCGATTTAAACCGGAAAACCCAATTTTTTTTCGAAATACCTGAGTCGGGATCGATCGATCCCTGGTGCAGATCGGTCGATCCCTGGTGCAGATCGGTCGATCCCGAGGCTTCTGTTCCTCGGTTCAATTTCCAGGCGAGACCGATCAGTCCAGGGTGTAGATCAATCGGTCCTAAGTGTCTGATCACCAAAATTAAAACCTATTCCTGAAACACTTAGGCATTCTCAAACTGATTCACTAAAATCCTCAAATTATAAATAGTCTATCTTTAAAAATCAGAAGAAACAAAATCAAAAGCTCAAAAACATAATAGTTAGTACAAAACATCGGATTGCCTCCCGGAAGCGCTTGTTTTAAGTCTTAAGCTTGACTCCTCTTCTTCTAGGCTTGTGAACGAGTCCTTGGACCTCTTGCACGTTCTCTTGTGATGCTGACATTGCGATCTTCCTCCTAGAGACGTACCGGCCTAAGCGCGCTCTCTCGTGGCGTAGTGTGATAGAACACCTCCTTGTCTACGTTGGCGAAGCAAACACGGCGATTTGGAACATCCATGACAGCTCCAACAGTAGTTAAGAAAGCTCTCCCCAAGATAACTTGTTGACGCTTTCCGGGTACATCCACAACTTGGAAATCCGTAGGCACGTCCACATCTCCAATTCGCACTATCTCATTACGGAGCTCGCCTCTTGGTATGACCACCGACTCATCGGCCATGTAGAGCTTCGTTGTAGATGGACTACACTTGGTGATACCACATCGAGAAGCAATGGTGGTGGGTATCACGCTTGTTCCGGCTCCCGAATCACATAGACAATTATTCACGGAAACTCCGTTGATAGCACAAGGAACTACGAAGCAACCGAGATCTTTCACCTTGAGAAGGCATCTTCTCTCCGTAGCTTTCTCACGCGCCCTATAGAAATGTGCTTCTATGACATAGAGAGGTTCCCTACTCTTCCAAAAGCACTTTTGCAAGCCAACATAATTGGTCCATGCTTCCTTGAAACTAAGCCTTTCCGGGACCATCCTCACACGCATTTCGAACATGTTGAGGTCGTGTGGATGGATCTCGTCGCTTATCTCTTCTTGGTTTTCATCGGGAGTAAAGCATGCAGGATTGCAATTGCAATTCCTCTTGACCATTTGGTAGGGCCATTGGCGATTCACACGTATACGAGGCGTCCTCTTCATAGCTACCATAGAGACTTCGGCATAGCAAGATCCTAGACGAGCGGCTTCAAGTACCGGATAATAAGCAACATTCTTGTCGATCTTAGTGAAGGTCATCTTGGGCTCATCAAGATCAAACACGGCCCCAACCGTGGTCAAGAAAGCACGTCCCAAGATCAAAGGAGTCTCGGAACCTCCACTCATTTCGACAACATGGAAATCAGTAGGTACCAAGTGGTTACCTACACGCACCTCTACATCGCCTATGAAACCTTGAGGGGTTGTTGTTGATGCGTTGGCGAACTTTAAGGAGCATTGGGAGGTCTCCATCCCTTGGAGATCAAGCCTTCGGACAGTGGCCATTGACATGACATTCACGCTTGATCCCGAATCACACAGGGAGTTGGCAAAGACTTCTCCATCTATAGAACATGGCACAACGAACTTGCCCGGGTCTTCTTGTTTCTCCACCTTAACGAGCTTGAGGGTTGAGGCTTCCTTTTGTTTTGCCAAGTAGGCATCGACCTCTGCTGGGTCCTCAGTACCATTGAGCACATCTCTACAGATCTTCTTTAAGAAAGGGAGTTCATCTAAGGCTTCGGAGAGTGTAACCTCCTTTATCAACTCGCTCATGATCTCCTTGAAGCGGTTGTACTTAGTTTCATCAATCTTGGCCTTAGGAACACGCGGATAGGGGCTCTAAGGCTTGTAGGGGAGCACATCAGCCTTAGCGACTATGTGAGCATCGTTCTCATTTGAAAACGAGTCAGAAACCCATGGAACAGCAGCACGGACCGATCGATCTCTAGGAGGATCGGTCGATCTGACCTCTCAGGTCAACAGGGTGAAACCAGCAGGCGGATCGGTCAATCTGGGCAGTGGATCGGTCGATCCTGGTTGGTGTGAGCTCGAGAGATCTCCAAATACATCCGAATGGAAGCTTGTATTGGCTCCAGAATGAGCCATGACAGCATTACAAGCTTCTTTCCCTTTAAAGCTGGATGCCATAGTCGAAACTCTCTTGTCCAAGGAATCAACCCGACTAGCCAAGGTAGTGAACTTCCCATTCAAATCACCATACATCCCATCGATTTTCGCATTGATCTCTGATGCACTCTTCTTGTGACTCTCGATCAGAGAGTACATCATGGTCTCCAGCTTGTTTTCTTGAGGTACAGCCGGCTTAGGTGGGTAGTTAGCGAATGTGGATGGCTTGTTGAGGTTCCCTTGTTGGCGTGGAGGGTACACCATGTCTTGAGGGTTCTCCACATTGTTGCTGCGATAAGATAGGTTAGGATGGTTTCGATAATTGGGGTTGAAACCACGGTAACCTCCTTGTCCACCAATGTAGTTGACCTCCTCTTGATCATCATCCTCATCAAACGTCTCTTCAAGTGCTTTGATGGTTTGTTGCTCACGTGCGAGTAGAAGGTTCACCTTTTGAGTGAGATCCTTAAGCGCATCATTCTCCACCGCTTTTACCTTCAATGAACGATCATACTCGGGTGCATGATCGCTATTGCTTCTAGCCAAATTCTCGATCAATGATGTCGCTTGCACCACGGTGTTGGTTGAGAAATCTCCTTTGCTTGCCGTATCCAAAGCCATTTGGTATTGGGTATCAATACCGCCATAGAAAGTAGTCATGAGACTCTCTTGTGTGAAGCCATGGTGGGGGCAATCCTTCACGTACTCCTTGAATCGTTCCCAAGCTTCATTAAAGGTCTCAGTAGCCTTTTGCTTGAAGGCAGCAATCTGATTCCTCATACGTGCTGATCGCGACTTCGTGTAGAAGTGATTCAGGAACTTCGCACGACACTCATTCCAAGTGGTTATGGAGCCGGGCTCTAGCATCTTGAGCCATCGCAATGCTTTATCCGCAAGAGAGAAATTAAACAAAGTAAGCCTCAGATAATCATAAGGGACTCCATTAGCCTTGGTCGTGTTGCACAATGCTTCAAACGCCTCGATGTGGTCCATCGGGTTCTCCGTAGCTAAACCGTTAAAGCATCGGTTTTGCACCAAATTGATCAAGCTGTACTTGATCTCATAGTCCTGCCGAGTGGGGTTCGGAGGACGGAGTACAGACCGGTTCGCGTAGAAACGATCCGGTGTGTCCTGCTCGCCAAGGGTACGAGCAGGGTGTGCAGCAGCGACGGGATCGACCGGTCCAGGAGGTGGACCGTTCGGTACGACAGCACGAGGATCGACCGGTCCGAGTTGTAGACCGATCGGTCCGGCAACGGCAGGCAAGACATTTTGGGGATTGTTCCCTCCTTCAGGCAAGACAGGTGGTGGCAGATTGTTGCCCTCTTGGTTAGCTCCCTCTGGTAGCACGTTCATGTTCATCTCAGCTGGTTCGGAGTTGGTCCTTCTTCTTCGTTCTAAGCGGCCTAGCTCTTCGTTAGAAAGTGCAACCAAATCAGTAGCCTTGTGGCTCCTTGTTTGCATGCACCTATAAAAGAAATAAAAAGAAAAATAAAAATAACTAGTAATGTACAAAAATAAATCCTAGACTAAATTCAATTCTAAAACTCTAAAGGCAATCTATTGGTCCCCGGCAACGGCGCCAATTTGATCATCACGGATAATACAAATAAAAACCTATCATACACTATACCGGATCAAAACGGTAATCATAGTAGTAAGTACAATCTGTTGTGAGAGCAAAGTTATGTGTGACGAGATGATCATTACATGTAAAACAAATTGTAGATGACACTGTAAAAGGAGATTCGTTCCAATAGGCACGACCGATGTTATTATTGCAATATATATCAATATTCTACAAGAAAGCTGTTCAGTTTACGTTCTACAAAAATCATATTACCACCTAAATACAGTAAAGGATTTGCAGCCAAGAAATACTAACTGAACAGCGTTCTTGTTTTTATTTTCTGCGTACAATATATATCAATGTGGGCCTCAGTTGTTAGTACTTTGCACCCACTGTACCTAATAAAATTATAATCTTCCCGTAGGCTATTTAAAATAAAAAGGAAAACTGAAACGTAAAAAAGAATGCCTAAAAACCACACGTTGCACAAAAACAAAAACAACTCCACTTAAAAATCCAAAAGCTGTTTAATTATTAACTGTTCCACATTTTCCAATGGTTCGCTAGGTGAAATAAGCAAGAGGAAGCTTAGTTTTGAATGCCTGGCGTTGCACATGACAAACCAGTCTGAGGCCGTGTTGTTTTTATGCTTTTCGTGGACTCCAATTCTTACCCATTATATTAGTATACTTTCGGGGCTCTGAATCCTACCCTGGAGACTGAAGTATGCCTTACCAATGCAAGAAGATCACTTAAGACGAAGGAATTTTCTTCTAGCGTGGAAGATCTCAGATTCAGATGTAGATGCAGTGTCTTGAGGATTACTTATTACTAGTTCCAGACTGGGATATGTCCTAAATATGCATTCCATCTCTACAAACTCGAGCGAAGACAACAAACACAGATGCTCGGACGAGAGACTCATTTTTCCCCAATAACCTATTAAATTCTGTAAAAAAAACAAACACAATATGAGTGGAATAATTCTATATAACACATTTCTTAATGTATGGGTTTGAGCAAGTCATTACCAAGATTAGGGATCTTAGTTTCGGACAGCTTGGAAGAAACATTAGCAGCCTGTCAAAAAAGGAAAAATAGCAAAGACCTACTTCCAATTGGTACAGGTTGCAAAACTGGGGTAATGGCACCACATTCATGAAGTACTACACACAAAAAATGGAGATAAGTAGATTCACACACGTATGAAAGAGCATTATATATTTATCTATGAATTGCAAAGACGTGCGTGTATACCAAGAAAGATGCGCGAGAGAGGTTCATATCTCTTACTCCAGATAAACTGGTGAAAAATTTACGGTCTTGATCATCACCCCGGATAAAAAAGCGGCCAAGAAGATTGACCTTGTTTAAGGAACCCAAATTGGTTATGGTTTTAATAGTTGTTCTTTCATCTTCGATATTCAAATACTTGAGTCTAGGGGCATCAATCAAAAACCCCCCCTGGCCATAACCCCTAACCACAAGGACATCAACCTCCCCATAATACTCGGATTGTCTTCTAAGTTGGAATTTTATACGGAGACTGGTTAGTGTCTGGGAACGCACTCTTAAATACTTAACATTATCACCTACTCTTCTAACAATGGTCAAATCTTCAAGCACGGGGATATATGAGATTAGCGACTCTAGACTTGTCTCATTTGAATATACGTTGAGTTCTAGACGCAGAGTCTTAAGACGAGGTAATGATACAGACGACGATTCCTCAAAACTAGTACTAAACAACACGCGACTGAGTCTTAAGTAAACTAACGTCTGACAGACAAAGAGGCTTACGGGCATGATCACTTCCAAACACTTACGCTTCAGAAAGCGCTCAACATCAAGATGCTTAAGTTTTCCCTTAGCCACGAAATCTATCCAACGCGTGACACAAAACTGGTTGTGATTCTCATTCTCATCCTGGTGAATACTTAGCTTGAGCTTGTGCAAGCATAACTCGTTTTCTCTTGAGAAATCTAAGCACTTGTTGACAAAACTCGAGAAAGCATTGAAATCTAAGAACTCACAAGAGTCCAAATCCAAACCAGGAACCAAAAGCCAGAGACTTCTCCACCTATTGGACAAAACACTTGTCCTAACAGCTTCCTTTGTTGGAAGATAAAAGAGTATCTCAGAAATCAAAGTGTCTGGTAATTTGCTGATCATATCATCATCCTCTCTTTTAGCTTTATTTTCCTCCATTAAAACTCCTGTTGCAGAATTGGACCACAAATTATGCGCAGTAGTGACAACCTTGGATACGTTAAGGCATGAATTTAGCAACGAATTTTGACATTCCTATGAACAATCCAATCCAATACGAAAATTAACACAAATTAAAAAGTATTCTTACCCATTTTTGGTATACTTTGTGCACTTTGAATCCTACCCTGGAGACTGAAGTATATCTTACCCTTACGCTCACCAAAGGTTCTTCTAACTATAGCTATGCAATCAACAGGGTTACCAACCCGAGTCTTGCCATGGTATCTTATGTAGACGATTGCATTTTTTTTTAAGAGAAGAAGATGGTCCACACACGACCAATACTAAAACCATGAAATACTTAACCGGGACAAACCGGGTAATTGTTAAAAGAGACTAAGGATATTGATGCGATCCTATTACAATAACGAGTCAAAGCCTCATCGTTTTCGGTACTCATCTTTGTGCTCGTCCTCGAGTCTTGGAAATTTTCGGAGTGGTTGGTAGAAACAAAAAACGTGATATCAACGTTATCGCGTTTAGAGAGTGTTTGCGTTAATTCAGCGGCTGATATTGAGGAACTACCTAACGTTACGATGCTAGAGTTTGAGGCGCTGCAAATCTAAAATTATTTATTTTTATTTCCTTTTAAATAAATTCTAAAATTGTATTAGGGAAACAAAAAACTCATTTATTTTTATTTTGGACGTTTAATATCCAAGATTTTTTGGTTTGAGCAAAAATACCTCATCTTTAATTTGTTGGTGGATTCGTAACCATGACTTAACAGACGTGAACGACCGTTACAGAATCGTTTAACGATGTTAAATTTTAAACCCCCACTAGGTCAAAACCCGCGCTACGCCGCGGGGTGTCTTTTTGTAAATAATTTTTGTTACTAATATTTTTTGTTACTAATGATTTTTGCTTCAACTAAAATTCTGCAGCACAAGATCCACAATGAAACTTGAAATTTTGGTTTACACAATGAAAGTTGTCCTGCTTCTCATGTAACACAAATATTTGTATCCAAACTTGAATTTAAACGATAAATAAATAACATATGTATAGAAAATTAAAAACAAGAGGAAGATATACAAAAACATAAAATACATCTTATTAGAACAGAGTATAATCATAATCTCTTCCCTTTTCCCAGACGTTTGGCCGCTACGTACCACAGAAATAGCTCCCATCCGGAGAACATTCATCTAGTCAAGTTTCTTCTGCGCATAATTCCGTTACTACACCAGGATTTAGTATTATCTTATGGTTTCTCAAATCAAGACCCTACTTTAGATATGGAAAAAAAGCTGCCTGAACAGAATAGCTTATGGGATTCCATGTTTGGTAGAGCATTTTCTGTGTCTGAGTCTTTGTTTCCTACTGACGTCTGCCAATGCACGCTAGAGGTAACCATTCCCTTCACAGATAGATCCTCTCATTTCTCTAATATGCTTTGTTTCTCAAGTTGGTGCATCCTGATATTAGGTTCTAAGGAAAGTAATGGATGTCTTAGCATCCAAGGGCCTGCTTGTCGAAGACCGATTTATGTGGAGGTATGTCTGAAAGGGCTTTTCAACTATGTTCTTGGTTTTGTGGAGAATACAATTTATTCCTCTTTTTTCCTGGGTTACATTAGACTTCTTGTTCCCCTTAGGTAATATTGATTTCTTATTTTTCTGCAGATTTTATTCATGCCTTCTAGACTGTGTGCATGAGGTCCTTACAAATATCAAATGTCCTGTTTCTGATCACGTAAGTGGGTTCTTGATAGCCTTTGCTCCTCTTAGCCCTAGATAAGTGATTTTCTGGTTTTATGCAGACTTTTTTCCTTTGTTTAAGCACAAGTTGTAATGTTGCAGGTCTCAAGTTTCATAGCAGCATTGAGAATGTTTTTCTGTTTTGGACTTACTGGCCCACCCCAGTTCTCTCATTCTGATGTTGTTCACAAAGATAAGCAATTAAATGTCATGCTTTCCACATTGATTTCTGGAGTAAGTAAGAACGCCAATAATAATCCTTATAGGCCACCCCACTTGCGCAAGAGGGATGTTTTGAACACTAAGCAGCCAGTGTCTTGTGACTGGCGGCACCTGTCTGCTCATGATTCTGGTAGTTGTGATGTTATATCATCAGATTCTGATTTTAGTGACAGTGATGGTTCCGTACGGGATTCTTATTGTGCCCAAAGCTCGAAGGTTAGAATAGCTGCCATTGTTTGCATACAGGTGAGTAACAATGTTGTATTCTTAATTGTTTTTCATCATCTACTTAACTTTTCAGTGAAAATTACTTATTCAATTTCATATTCTCCTGTAAAGGATCTTTGCCAGGCTGATTCAAAGTCATTTACCACTCAGTGGATGGCTCTCTTTCCAACCAGTGATGTACTCAAGCCAAGGTGGAAAATTTTACCTTTTGTCACCATATTAAAATGTTTTCGTCTCCTTAACTTTCTGAGATCATTAACAGGAAGTTTGAAGCTACTCTAATGACCTGCTTGCTTTTTGATCCTCATTTGAAGGTGGTTATTTTTGTCCCTTTAAGTCATTAAGGCACATATTTCGATTTGTTCTCCATTTTTTTTTTTTTTGACATCCGATGTTGTTCTCCATTTTCACCTTCTCAATATCTTTTGTGGTTAAGCAAATATTTCTAGAGATATTTTTTTGGCTCGACTTTGTGACTGCTGAATCCCAATGTCTAGGTAAGGATTGCATCTGCGTCAGCTCTTGCCACCATGATGGATGGGCCTTCATCTATTTTCCTTCAAGTGGCAGAGTACAAGGAATCCACCAAATATGGATCGTTTATGCCCCTCTCCAATTCCCTTGGTCTAATATTAATGCAACTCCATACAGGTACTTCAAGGACATTAATTTTCTTACCCTTTTTCCTTATGGTTGCTATTAGTTATTCCTTTGCTAAGCTGCATGGAATCGGAAGCGGGTACGCGGAAGCGGAAGCGTTTGTAAGCGGGGAAACGAGTTTTTTAAAAAAATAAGGAAGCGGGTACGTGTTGGAAGCGTATATATAATAATATAATATATATATATATATATTTTGTACTAAACATAAAATAGTAAAATAAAATGTTTTAAACAACTATTCCAATACATAACTTAGTTATAAGACTCTAACAACATACTTAACCGAATGGGCTTTAACTACACTCATAAACTCATTCTTCTACTGGGCCGAAACTAAAACCAACATGGCCCAACTCACCTTTTCAATCCAACACACAAAACGTTGCTTCTTCGTTTCCTTCGTTAACGACCACTTCATCTTCTTCCTTTAATTGCCAATCTCTTTGTTCTTCATCATCTTCTCATTCTTATCTCTGATCATCTTCTTTTTCTCAATTTCAGGATCAATCGAAGACTCAACCCTCAACAAATTGACACAAATCGTATTCGTAGATATTATTTAGTGGGGTAGGGCGATGACAATTTTCCGATTCTCACAGAAAATGGCTTCCTCCTCTTCG